CGTGCATTTGAGGTTGAATTCACCAGTCTCTCCATAGTGAAATTGTGACATTGAGGTTAAGTTCTTCGTTTCCTAACAGTTAAATTGGAAACCATCAAATCAATTACGCGTATTGTGCAAATTTTTATTCAACTTCAACAGCAGGCATTTGTCCTTAGTTGTACTGTGCAAATTATTTGGATCGTGCATTTGAGGTAAAATTCACCAGTCTCTCCATATTGAAATTGTGACATTGAGGTTAAGTTCTTCGTTTCCTAACAGTTAAATTGGAAACCATCAAATCAATTACGCGTATTGTGCAAATTTTTATTCAACTTCAACAGCAGGCATTTGTCCTTAAGGTGGTAAGTTGAACTGTGCAAATTATTTGGATCGTGCATTCGAGGTTAAATTCACCTGTCTGTCCATAGTCCAAAATGCCGAGAGGACGACGTGTGAACATCGGCCGCCGCACAAGACGTGCAAGCCAGCAACAAGTGTATTCACAGAACTTAAGCGAAGAAAGACAAAATATAATAAGAGAAAATGCCCGATTGAGACAACGCGTGAGCACACGAAGATCATTGGCATCATACAACCGCTGGGCATTCCAATATGATCCCACTGCGAACTACAGTGATGATGACAATTTAGATATTGGACAAATGACGACTGTATGCCGATATTGCAATGCGTTAAAGTTTAAAAGAGAAACGGCTGGATTGTGCTGCGCAAGTGGAAAAGTCAAACTGGATCCATTACTTACACCACCACAGCCACTGAAATCATTGTTCGATGGAACTGATCCCGATTCCAACCATTTTCTTCAACGCATCCTTGAATACAATAACGGCTTTCGCATGACTTCCTTTGTAGCTAATATCATTCGAGAAGGCGGCTTCATGCCGATTTGCAAGGTAAAAGATACAACACACACAACCAATCACTCACACCAATCAATCACACCAACACAATCAATTGCAACACATAACAACTAAATATACACCATCACACGATCAGAAGTCACACCATATTCTTCAAAAATAATTAAATTGATTATTTTATCTTAATTGTTTGCCATCAAAGGTACAAGGACAAATATATCATTTGGCNATACAAGGACAAATATATCATTTGCATGGTTCAATGGCGCCAACAGCAGGTGAACCCCATCAATTTCTGCAAATATATTTCATTTCGTCGATGGTGGATCAGCTGAATGTGCGGTGCAATATACAGGGAACACAACAGTTAAAGAGACGAATTATGGAACAGTTGCAAGCATTTTTTCACGCTAATAACGCTGAGGTTAATATGTTCAAAACAGCATTGGAACGAATGCCATCGGATACGCACAAATTTGTCATAAGAGCGGATCGTACCCCAACAGGTGAACATGTACGAAGGTTCAATGCACCCACCGTTGATGATGTTGCTGCAATTATTGTTGGCGATCCAACTACATCACGAGACATTGTCGTTCAGTTCCGTTTGACTTCAAAAGATAGCAATTTCCGGTTCGCCTTGCATTCGCAATGACAAATAACAAGTCGCAAGGCCAATCGCTTAGTGTTTCCGGGATAAATTTAGAAAATCATTGTTTTGCACATGGGCAGCTATACGTTGCGTGTTCACGAGTTGGGAAACCATCCGCTTTGTTTGTGTTAACGACAGACCAAAAAACAAAAAATGTGGTTTACCAAAGAGCACTTCAATGAAACAGATAATTTTCGGACACGTATAACGCTTCGATTCAGATTTTTTACTTAGAGACAAAAAAAAAATAATTTTTCTTCATCTTTTAATGCCCAAACGAAATGTTACAAGAAATGAAGCCATCTGGTGGCGAAACGGAGTTCGCCGGGTTTGCTAGTACTCCATAAAAAATTAAATTGAATTTTCGACCAATGCCCACATTTCACAGGCAGCACATCATCCAAGTATGGGTATAAGTTAATGACTCGACTTCAGCGCAAGTACATATGTATATACATACATTCATAGATATCTGTATGCATTTCGACGGTAGTTTGACAAAACCTCGTATCCCAGAGATCTCTATTCCACAGTAACACCAATAAACTCTATTATTTAATAACAAAAATTCATTCCTAAGAACTTTTTGATCTGAATGTTGAAGATTAGGTACTTTTCAGTTAATTAGGGGCCGGTTGTTCAATGTCTGGTTATCACTACCTCCCAGTTAACCCGTATCACCCTACGTAATTTTTTTTTGTAGTTTCATAAAGATTTTTCAGGAGCATAATCCTTATGAGTAAAGTAAAAAAACTGCATCACTAAATTTTAGGTCCTGCACTTAGGATCCTTAGAATGTCCTGTTGCCATATGGCAACGCTAGGTAGACTAGGGCACTGGTTTACATCTCATATATGTATGCCTTTCAAGAAATTAACAGCCGTTTTTGAGGTTGTTTATTCAAAGCAGAAAAGTGTAGGTTTTTTTTAATAACATTTGTATAAATAAATAATAAAGTTTTTTTTTAATTAAAAAAAGTAGAATTTATGGTTTCATATGATACGATTCAAAGCATGGTAAGCTGAGTCCAACATCGCATTTTCTACAAGCTGTTCGCACGGTGGATTTGCATGTATCTCCTACACATCGTCGCTTCTTATCTATTGGAATAACGAATTGATCAGTCCGATCATAACGGAGAGTTTCTATTACCGAACTCATTTGCTTCCCCGATGGCTTTTGAAACACTTTTGGCTTGGTATCGTTGTGCTTGTAGTAATAAGTTGTTACATCTCGCTTGAACTCTTTTAGTGTTTTATTTTGACCAACGCGTCGATAAAGTAGCCAGCTATTCTGAACACTGGCATCGATAAGCCATGTAAAAATGCAATGCCACCACTTTTTTCCTCGAAATGAAATGCGATTGCCTGAAACATTTTGATGAAATCGATCAACACCGGGCATATATTTGTTGTACTCGGTTACAACGCAAGGACGTGGAACTGGTACTTTCTTATACATGCCTGCTGTACCGAGATGCTGTTGATTTTGGTTCACAACCGAAGCAAGTAGATGCAAGACACGCCGCATTATCCACCCACTTAGTAATATGAATTCCTGTTTCTTTCATTTCCACACTTTCGTAATAGCCTCGCTGTTTTTTTCGCAATTCCTTTTTATGTGGAATTGGACAATTTTTGGGCATTCTATTTTCTCGTACCGTACCAGTAGCATGGTAGTAAAAAGAAAATGGGATTTTTTTTACGCCATCTGCAAAATCGTCTATCATACATAGGAGTGGCGCCGCACAAGTACCAAAACTTTCCTCATATTTAGTATCTGACCTCGGGTTTTTACCTTGATATATTTCAAAGTTGATCATATATCCACTGGGTGTGCATAGAGACCAAGCCTTGTATCCGAAGCGAATGGGCTTCCCTTTTATAAATTGCTTACAGCCATGGCGCCCGAAATAAGCAATCATACTCTCGTCGTATGAGATATTTTGTTCTGGGTGGAAGTTTTCTATAATTTTGGCCTTGATGTGGTCTGTAAGTGGACGTAGTTTCCATAGGGAGTCATATCTGTCAGAGTTATCTTTCGGTTTGCATATTGATGGCGTGAAATGAAGCATATAATTTATTTCTTCGAAGCGGTTTCTTCGCATAGCACTGAATACCATTCCGATACGGAGACCATCTTAGTTACTCCACATATCGCGAAAGGACCCTGTTTGATTGTAACCAGTCATAATCAAAATCCCAATGAACACACGCAGTTCTGAAATAATATGTAAATATTGGATTAGGGATATAAAAACCGCTGAACAAGTCCTCACCTCCCACATTCAGTTCTTCATACCGTTTTTGATGATGAGTAGCGTAAAAATTTGAACATTTGCATATGTGTTCAAGCAAATCATCGTTGAAAAACTTTTCGAATAGTTCATGAGGACTAAGTCCTCGACAGTCTTCATAATTTGTTTCAGGGAAAATGGGAAAAACTGCCATCGAATTAGTGGTACGCCAGGTGAAATTTCTTTCTTTGTTAGCTGGTGGGATTGGAACATCAGGCTTTGATGGATTCACACGACATATTCTCTTTGATGAGCTCGGCAAACAATCGTCCAGTATATCGAATAAAACAGGCTCGTCATCGATTTCAGTACCAAGGCAAGTTTGCTCGCCATCAAGACTTTCTATTCGACGACCGTTTTCCAAAACAATTGCCTGACTTTAGCTGCGCTGGGCATAAATTGTCTTGTAGTCCACCATCCTCGTCACCTGAATCTTCGCCACTTAAATCCCCCTCAATACGGGGTGGCTGAATATATAGTGCTTGCGCATTAGCTGGAGCTCCGCTCTCGTCGTCAGAACATAATTCTTCTAAAAAGTCTGGTGCTTCTTGCAAAGAAAGTGGTCTTAAAAAATAAAAAAATGGAGAATGTTAAATGATGTTTCTTATTTATCTACAGTCAAATTATTCCTTAAGAAACCTAGAAAAAACAAGAAAACTACCGAAACACACAAAAAAACATTACAACAACACCAGTAGCCTAGCCTACCTGGCGTTGCCATATGGACACACGCATAAAAAACTAAAAAAAACCCCAAACACGTTATTACTCCTAACAAACACTAAAAAAATCACATTCATTAAAACGATTAAGATAATTAGAACACATTTTAGATGCACTTACTTTTTTGTAACCCTTTTTTTTACACTCAACATTTTGCGTTTTATCTACGAAGCGCTAGCTCTCACAAACACGAACTGTCGCCAAATATATTTTGCGCAAAAGAAGAAATAATTACGCGTCGAGCATATTCTTAAAAGTAACGGTATCTGCATTCGTTTGCATGTTATGATCGTGTAAAAACATGTCTATCGCACGTTGCCATATGGCAACAACAGGGTGATCCGGGTTAAACAACATTATCGGCGATTTCGACATCATGCATATAACATGTGATCGATAAAGCAGTCGAAGCATTTAACACGAGCTTCTACTTCCGATTTGTGTTAACCACACATTGAATAACCGGCACTAAGACTATGTATAACGTAATGAATCATAGTATTTGAAGGCCCATTCTGAACTAATTTTATGAGATACGATTTCTATAGTGATGATACGAGGTGTTGCTAAAGCACCGTCGATATGTATGTACGTCAAGTGCTTCAATAGTAAATCGGAGTTGGTAAATTCGTAATTTGAAATAAGTAAGGGATACCTATGTATGCACATATATGTATGCGTATTAAATATCGACTGCATATCCAGATAAGGTAACGCCTGGTGCAATCTCTTCCTCCACGTATGAGCCAGCTTCCTCGAATGACTTGGCGTTTGTGTTTTCAAAGCTTTTTCCAACTGCGGTGGTACTTTGTTTCAAAGGAGGTCCACGGTTTGCAAATTTAACCTGATCAATTAGAACCTTTTGTGATGGCGAATTGTTGAAATCATCAAGTCGACGTCCCATGAGGCTCAGTTTTGATGACTGAAAGCCAATACTTTCGTTATTATTGTTTGACATGTGGCCATTGAATTCATATACAGTTGAGTCAGGGTGGGAATAATTGGTTTTGCGAAGCAAAGATTTGAAATTAAAAGGTGGATCTTCAGAACTCTAACCGGGATACGGCAATATGAAATTAAAAAAGAAGTTTAAATATATGTAGTTAATTCAACAAATATAGTCTAGCCAACCTACATCCTCATCATTGGAACGGCGAACTATGTCCTTCAACTCTCTCACCGGGTCCGGAGGTATAAACGCAGCACGTTGTTGGTAGTTTTGATTCAAGCGGCTCAAATTGTTTTGGTTTTGCGACGGCATTCGTGAATACATTTCATCATTGCGATAAAAAATGTTTGTCGGTGGCATGGGTGGAGGTGGTGGCGCCGAATAACCTTTTAGAGAGTTTCGCCGTGAACCTGCTAGGTTGCCCCGTATTTGTGAGGATAAGCTGTTGGTAGCATTATTGTATTGATGATAATTGTTGTACGCATTCATATTCATTTGCACTTGGTTCCTAAAAAAGAAGATATAATTTCCAGTTATTTAATATTAATGATATACATGAGACATTCTTTTTCATATCGGACACCAAATTTGGTGTCACACTTTCGATTGGCTTCAAATTTTTTTTATGGGTTCTATACATGAAATAAGCTAACACGTGTCCGAGGATTTTTTTTCACTTTTTTCTTTGGAGTATGATCTGTCAAGGTTTGAATTTTTTCGTGATTCTGACTAATCATGTACTCCTTCGAATCGTTATATCTCCGGCCAATCGTAGAGACTTCATCTTAACGCCGTTAGGGTTTTAAAAGTATACCATCGTAATCCTTGTTTAATTCTCTATCAAAAACGTGGTTAAAAAAATAGGGGTTTTTCAAGAACTATTTTTAAAATATCTTTCTTTATGACGAGATGGTTTATTTTGTGAGAATTAAAACTTTTTTAAATTTGTTTTCCAAAACTTATGCTGAGATATATTTAGTAAGTTGTTAAACATCGAGTTTTTGCAAGAATTTAAATTTTGTTGCAGGTTCCGATAGAATACCTATCCAGGTATAATATTTGTACGGCAAGATTTTTCTTAAAGGCGACAAACCCCTAAACATGGGCGTGCCAAATGTAGGACTAAAGTTCGTAAAACGCAGATTTTATTGCGGATTTCGGGAGAATATCGCTTCGTTAACAGCATTTTTCCACAAAGCGAATCGGAGACATGACATAATTTTTTTTACGAAATCCGTCCGACTTAAAAAAGAATAGCTCACATATGTATGCACATAGAAACGTAAGGTATATGACTTTCTTTTGCAATTGTATATGTATATATACTAGGGATGTTAATTTTTTCGCCTTTTTCGATCCCGGGATTTTCGGGATGTCGTTATCACAATCCCGGGATCGCGGGGTAAGTCCCGGGTTTAAGATATTCATTACTTTTCAACAACTTAAATCGAAAAAATTGCTTCTACCTCTCCTACCATAAAATAAATAATAAATAAATAGGTTTGAAACCCACTTTTTTTATTAAAAGCGGCGTTTTTATTTTTTTTCTCTGACGTCAGGATTTATTTTAAAAAACTATGTAATTTCAAAGATATGATTAATTCCAAAAGTTATTTAAAAATTCAATGCAATGTGGAATAAAAATATGGGTACCAAATGAAAGAGGAAATTTCTTTAGAATTTAAAAAATTAAAAGTTTTTTGGATTCACAAGGACGACTAGGTAATTTTTTAAGCTGATAAAGTTAGAAGGATTTATTCTAAATGACTTTGCAATTTCAATGATGTGATTAATTCCAAAAATTATTTAAAAAAAATTCAATGCAAAGTAGAATAAAAATATAGGTACCAAATGAAAGAGGAAATTTCTCTAAAATTAAAAAAGTTAAAAATTTTTGGATTCACAAGGACGAATATGTAATTTTTTTAGCTGATATAGTTAGAAGGACGAAATTCGAAACATATATTGCGAAATTTCAAGGATAAAATTTTAAAGGGACATTTTCAATAAATTCTACAGAATTTCCTCTTTAATTTGATACCCACACTTCTTCTCTAAGCACATTTCATTAAAATGTTTAAATCATTTTGAATTACTGACGTCAAAGTGAAAAACTAAAATACAATTTTATAATATTTGGCCCATGGTTTCGCGAATATATTGATTTTTGTGTGTAAAATTTACAATCGCACGGTATTATATGTATAATTACGGTGACCATCCGTTCTGTATTATACGGGACAGTCTTCTTTTTTGAGCAATTGTCCTGGCAATTAATTTATTTTATACGGGACGCCAAATGTTCTGTATTTCTTTTAATGTCCTGAATTTATCCCGTATTCGGGGTTCGGTATTTCGACTCTTTAAAAGCTCATTAAAATGGCATACCTATGAACCAGTTTTAAATGATGTGGAATATGATCGTAACTTTCTCCATCCTTCGAATCAAGGAACACATACAGTGACTAAATTATAAATAAGGATTCTACATTTAGCAAGGTTCGGCTATTTTTCTTTTGTTTATTTAATGTTTATTATTTTTTTTATGCAAAGCATTTCCTAACAAAAACCATATAAATCCAAATTTCCGACTTTGTGCAAAAACTGATAATTAATTCCGCAAATTTCCACCAAAATTTCAAACTTTTTAATCAGAACCATTATAAAAAAAAATTTGGTTGCGTTTTGTAGCTCATTAAAAGTGAGTATAATATAGTGCAAGTGCAACGTGCTGCTCGTTTGCTTCCCTATCAACAAATTGTCCAGCATATTAACTTTGTATGACAAAAATGCGTAGCACCAGCGACAAAAAAAATTGCCAAAAATTAACGGTAAGTCCTAGCTACTTAAAACTTGCACTTTATCGTACAAAAATTTATTGAAACTTTTGTAAAAAATTTTGTAGAGTAAAAATATCGAGAAATATATCCTACATGTCATGGTACTACAAGCATGCTGTGGGCTAATATATATATCTAAGATCATTTAAGAAGGTGTTAAGATCTGTTAGCTTTTATGGAAAAAATGAGCAATTATTTTTTGTTCCGTATTCGGCTCGCATACATATTTATGGTCACCGTATGTATAATAAGCTAGCCATTTATAAAAAATATTAGTATTAAATTTATAAAAAATATAGTATGAAATAAAAAAAATAAATATAGCCAATACTGGTCAAGAAAAGAAGTTTCTATTATTGCCATTAGTGCAAATTACAAATCCCGAAAATCCCGGGATTATTTGGCAAGAATTCCGGCATTTTCGGGACCTAAAAAACATTCCTAATATATGCTAAAGGCTAACACAAGTACATTTGCCGCATAACGTTCAATAAGTACGCTTTGCATTGTACTCTACTCTACTCTCAGAGGGATTGGCATATAAAAAAACCCTCGAAAATTTTATTTCAAAACTTTAATGTTGATTAATCCTTATTATTACATATGGGTGTTTCAATTGGAAGGTCTACCGCGGAAATAAAAATTGAAAGTCATACATATATCGAACGTATTTATGGGCAAATTTATCTGCTTTTTAACCGACTTCCAAAAAAGGAGGAGGTTATCAGTTCATCGGAATATTTTTTTTTGTCTGGCGACAAGAAGACACAGCCTGAGCAGAAGCGGGTGAAAACTTCATCGACCTTATGCTCAGCACCAGAGCTCCAGGTAGCAATCATAGAAGGGAATCACCCGGAAGGAAAGATTCCGACGGAAAAATTGTTGCTTCTGGAACAAAAGATTATGAGGGCACTACTTGGCGAAATCCAGCGTACCAAAAACAACAACATTGGTATGTTTGATGGAGCCAAGTGGCAGAGGGGAGTCAAAGTTATTGGATGCGGTAACAAGGAGTTGATAGACTTCCTAACAAACTGCGTCCGCAACCAAGATGAACTTTGGGCCAACGCACGACTAGAAGTTGATCCGCTCTCAGAGGTGCCATCCCGTACGACAGTGCGATTTATTCAACGCCCCAGGCATCTCTAGAGACCCTGCTGGATATTCCACGTATAGAGATATATGTTGAAAGTATCGCAGCTAAAAGCGCTCTACGACTCAGAGCGTCTAACAGGCTGCGAACAACTTGCAAAGGTCACGCCACAATCCTCGGGAGAGTGGGGGCGGAATACAGCCGCTGTGACCACCAGGTCACAGAAATTGACTCCGATATCCATTTTCCTGACAGAAGTGACTGGGAATTTAATATTGCTCTCAGCGATGAGGAAATACCCATCTTCACGGACGGCTCCAAAATGGATATCGGAACAGGGTCTGGGGTCTTCTCTCAGGAGTTATTTCTGAGGGAGTCGTATAGACTCCCAGACCACTGCAGTGTTTTTCAGGCTGAGATATATGCAATCCATATGGCGGCAAGGTTGGTGGGCATGATTGACTTAGCTCCATCTAAACTTGCCTTCGTTGTTGACAGTCAGGCGGCTATCAAAGCCTTATACCCTGTCCCCACCGGAGCAAACCACATAGTTATGGCTGTTGAGTTGGTTAGCCCGATAACCCACTTGATTTAGCATAGTTTCGCCATATAAAAATGTCAGCAGTTAACCATTTCACTAAGATGGTTAAAAGCTAACCAACTCGGAACCACGTCGAAAGTCTGATACAACCCTGTATTTTCCCGCCATCTGTGGGTCATTAGCGTTAAAATGTAAAAAATTCGTTCCGTATTAGTGTTTGGACTCCCCTAAGATCAGATTAGATTTACTCCCGTTTTTGAAAAAATTTGAAATCTACTCCTCTACTCCACTTGACTTCAAATCTGTTCCGTTTTTCTTTTTCATTCATGTTAAGCCCCTCTTAGGACCGTTTTTTGAGTGTTCACCACCGGTTTCAACAAAAAAATTGAAAGTTAGCCAAATTTCACTGTTAAAAAGTATGTAACTCTTTCAAAGCAATGCGTCAATAAAGTTCGTCATTTTTTTATGTATGGCTGTAGAAATTGGCGGATGCAGAACTTTACTTAAGTTGTTAAAAAAATATATGTAGAATGAAATTTACTCTTTAAAAAATTAAGTGTTAGATATGTTCTACTTTATAGAAAATGTTAAAAATTACCTAAATATGTAACATATTATCCTTACATTGCTTCGCGTTCTTATGTTTGCATGAATAGAAAATATTTAAGTCAAACAATTAATGTCAGAAACGAAAATATAAAATTAAATCTAGTTTTTTTTTTGCACCGATTTTTGCAGCGATTTAGTCCTGAATCGAGTTTTTGAGATCCGAACACTACTCTCTTCATTTGTACTGTTTTACAAACCTCAAACCGCAGTGTGGACAGCGATAGTTAGTGATGTGGTTAAGTTCGATTTGAGATGGTTAACATTTTGGTGGGGACATGGTATTAGGGTCGGTAACGACTAACTCGTTATGCGTTAAAGAATGCCGAAGATCCCTACAAGCTCTACAGCAACACATAATCAATCTTTACTGGGTACCGGGACATTGTGGTGTCCCGGGAATTGAGGAAGCGGACGAAGCGGG